TCGAGTGGCCTTTTCCTGAGGTGCTCCCGAAGCAGCAGGCAGCGGAAGAAGGAACTGCCGATAGTGGCGAAGAGGATGAAGAACCGGCGAGCGAAGACAGTGAGCGTGAAGATTATTTTGATGTGGACGATCCCGATCCAGATGAAGATGAGGAAAAAGAAGATGAAGTGAGGGAAGAATTAGAAAGTGCAAATCGACAAGGTCGTCGCACCCGCGGCGTGCTACCGAGCCGTTTGTCGGATTATGTGGTAGGTGTTGTGACACAGAAGGTGCAGGAACCAGCAACGTACAAGCAAGCAGTGTCCAGTCCGGATCGATGTTCGTGGAAGGAAGCGATGGATAGCGAAATCCAGTCGCATAAGCAGAATGGGACGTGGGAGTTGGTGCCACTTCCGAAGGGCAAGAAAGTTGTAGGCAGTCGTTGGGTGTTCAAAGTGAAACGGAACGAATCAAATGAAGTCGTCCGCTACAAAGCAAGGATCGTCGCGCAGGGATTCACTCAGTGCTATGGCGTTGATTACGATGAAGTGTTCGCCCCTGTGACCAAACATGCTACACTCAGAGTCCTGTTGTCCCTGGCTGGAAAGAGAGGAATGGCGTTGAAGCACTTGGATGTCCGTACCGCGTATCTCTATGGAGAAATCGAAGAAGAAATCTATATGCGTCAACCACCTGGCTACGAGGTTCACGGAAAGGAGGAGATTGTTTGCCGACTTCGTAGAAGCATATACGGACTGAAACAGTCAGCTCGATGTTGGAACCGGAAGCTAACCGGTGTTCTGACACAAATGGGTTTCCAAGCAAGTTGCGCGGATCCGTGTCTGTTCATGGCAACCAGAAACGATAAGAAAATCTACCTTATCGTTTACGTGGATGATTTTCTGATCGGATGTGAAAGCGAGGATGAAATAACTCGTGTTCAGAAGCAGCTGAGTCAGCATTTCGAAATAGTTAATCTCGGCGATGTGAAACATTTCCTTGGACAGGAAGTTCGAAGGGAGAATGGCGTGTTCAGTGTGAGTTTGACCAACTACATTGAACAACTGGTTGCCAGGACAAGTCTTAGCGAAGCAAAGACAGCAAGAACACCCATGGATCAGGGCTATCTGAAGGATGAGGTTGACAGCAAACCATTCGAAGATGGTACGAAGTACAGAAGCGTGGTAGGTGCACTACTATATGTTTCGGTGTGTGCACGCCCGGACATAGCGACAAGTGTCGGGATTCTTGGTCGGAAATTCAGTGCTCCCACGGAGGCTGATTGGACCGCTGCGAAGCGCGTGGTACGATATTTGAAAGGAACGATGGACTGGAAACTGCAGCTTGGAGGCAAAAAGGCGGAAGATTTGGTGGCATTTTCGGATTCGGACTGGGCAGGAGACAAAAGTACGAGGAAATCGACTACAGGATACGTTGTGTTCTACGGAGGAGGAGCAGTATACTGGGTGAGTCGTCGGCAGTCTTGTGTGACGCTTTCGACGATGGAAGCTGAGTATGTCGCTCTGGCTGAAACGTGTCAGGAAGTTGTGTGGCTGAGGCGACTACTCGAAGACTTTGGTGAAAAACAGGTGAAAGCAACAGTGATCAACGAAGACAATCAAGGCTGTTTGAGTTTCGCACGTTCGGAGAGATCAAGCAAGCGATCAAAGCATATTGAAACCAAGCACCATTTTGTCAAGGATCTGTGCGACAGAGGTGAAGTGGTGCTACAGTACTGCCCTACGGACCAGATGCCAGCAGATGTCCTTACGAAGCCGTTAGGTTTTGTAAAGCATCGACAGTTTGCGGAACATTTTGGTTTGGTTAACGCAACCGAACATCAAGGTGAGGTCTAACCATTGAGGAGGAGTGAAGGTATTTACATTGTGTTACCCCTCACCATACATAAACTTTTATGGCACTTATATGTGCATGACGGCCCTTCTGGCAACACTAAATGTTTAATGTGTACATAACAACAACAATAGTAAAGTTTCGTCTGTTCTTCCGTGAAGTGCCGTGCGTATTTATTTTTGATCCTTCCGAAGCCAATACGTGTGTCCCCGCTTGCGCCCCGTGAGAACTCTGTCCGCTTCTGTCCGCCCACAGCTTATAGCTGTAAAAGTTTACAACAAGTACAGCTATCAATTTTTACAGCAGAGTAATAGGATTAATTATCAGATAGATATGAATACAACATTTGGTTTTCCCATAGTAATTTCCATATAAACTTCAAATAGTTTGTGCCAAGTCAGTTTCTTACTAAACGACTTCAAATTTTGGAAGGCTAATCAGGAACCAAATTGGGACTTTTTGAACACTTTCAAATTTTGCATCAGTCTAGTGAGTATACTTTCTTTATGATTAAATTGAATATGCCGTCAAACTCGGAACCTTTATATTCTTGGTGTTTTACAGTGCTGAGCAAATTTGTTCAACCGTAATTATATCCTCCGGTGGTTCGACACAAGGGTAGGCAACTAAATTGTGGACGCATTGCACAACCTGATCCTCGAGCGGACTTTGAATGTTCAAGCCAAGCAAATGCGATGCAGCGACATACCGATCGCATTTGTTTTCTCCTGTGGGGTGATTAAGAGCCAATCGTTATCATTTTCGACTCTGAGAGGTGAAACGGGTTTGGGATGAGTTTTCAAGACCTTGGCTATCTTCCAGAATGGTCTGGAGTGGTCGTTCAGATTCTAGACAACTTTCGCCCGAAACTTTCATTCCCGAGTGAGTCCATTCTGGAAGCAATCTGTCTGTTTAGATCGTTTTTTGCCCAGATATCCAGTCCTCTGAAACTGGCATCTACGTACATTTCTCAACCGAATTAGTAATTGGGTGTGGGAATCAATAGTAACAAACTTATCCCTCACAGGAATTTATCGGATACATGCCTCAGCGATGTCATCTATGGTATCAAGTGGTGGATTTTCTTCGATGTTTCTGTCCCCCTTTCGCCCGTACTGCACCCAGTTGACATGGTGGTAGTCTTTCCGCATGCAGCTTCTAGCTGAAACCACGTTGACACCGACTTCAGCCACCACCGGTTGGTGGTTGGAGTTGAAAGTTGGTTCGTCCGGAAACTTCACAGTGTTCAGTCCATGTTGTGCGTGGTCGAACATAAGACATCCGTTCCGGTTCCGCCGGTAGTTCCGCTAAACTTCAGGCGCGCATTCAGGTCGCCCCCAACGATGAATCGGGAACTAGTACCAGTGATGATGGTCAGGTTGTTCTTGAACTTGCTTGCTAATCCATTGTTGGCGGCACACTGCCGAGGGCAGTAAACAGCGATGAACCGGACATTTCTAGTTGGCGATTCGACCTCCACAATAATAGCGTGAGGCAGGATGTAGAACCTAATGCCTTTTTTGACGACGACTGCAACACCCCCCCCCCCCTTCCCCATAAAGTGGTCATTTTATACGATTAATGGGGAGATAAAAGTATAGAGTTGAAAGTTCCGTTAGAGCACGGCAGTGTGTAAATTGTATAAGAGAGTAGAAAGCGAGCAAAGATCAATTTTAAGGAAGGTACGAATCGGGTTGATCATCTCCTTTATCAAACTCCCCTGGGAGTGAAGGTGACGAGTATCTCCCCCGCCACCACTGGCAAAAGAGATGATCGCCGATTTGATCTCTTTTACCAGTGGTGGCGGGGGGAGATACCCCTTAACATCTCTCCCTAACAGGGGAGTTTGGCAAAGGAGATGATCAACCCGATTCGTGCTTTCCTCAAAATTGACTTTTGCTCGCTTTCTACTCTCTGTATACAATTTTCACACTGCCACACTCTAACGGAACTATCAACTCTATACTTTCATCTACTCATCGATCGTATAAAATTACCACTTTAAGTCTGATATTTGACGTTAAGCATCTCCAACTATGTAAACCGTTAACTTCACGCATGAAGTAATGCAAACATGATTAGTTGAAGTAAATATGCTTACTAACTAGTGCCAAAACTAGATCACTCACCATATCGAGAATTTTTCTGTGACTTGACTTGAATGATCAAAAAAATTGTTGAAAAAAATGCTTAGAATAGAAGTACCAATTTATCATATAAGCAATAAACATTTTGTTTCGGTAAGCCGTCCATTCGCGTGATTTTGATAATGTATGCAGTAAACAAATAGAGCTCAGACAAATCAGCAAATAAAAAGAAAGATAATGTTACCGTTTCCAAGGTTAAAACTTTTCCAAAAATCGCTAATGACACCTCTGAAAAGTGGTAGTCGATTTGCAACTTTTCAAACAACCATCGCACGCGTTATTCGCAGGTCACTATGACAACTTCGTGGCAATTCAAACCAAATTTTCCACCCATTGAGCGCTCTCACCCAGTTTACTTTGACCTGAGCTGCCGCAACACGCGCTGCATTCTTCGGCAATCACACAAATTCACAACCCTCCTCCTTCACCTGGTGATTGTGATCTGCAGAAATGCGACCGGCCAAAAAAACACACACGAAAACCGGCCCGCGCATTAATGAGCAACAATCAATGAAGCAGAATTATCCAATCATTTCATCAACCAACCAACCAACCAACCTGAATCGAAACCACCGAAAACCACGCGGTGTGCGGCATTGCGATTGATAAAATGGACGACCGTGCGACCCGTACGAAGTGGGTAATTATTCGCCGAATCGCATCCAAACTTGAACAAGGCAATCATAATAAGCCAGAATGGCAGATCTGCTGCATACGGACGCTATAATAGATTTTCCATTTAGGGCAATTAGAACGGTGTCTCACACTACTGTTTTGGTCAAGATTACAATTAGAGCATCATCCTTCGGAGCTCCATTACTGTTGGACCAAATTGTACGGTTCTTGGAATGGCCGAAAGAAAGAGAAACCAAGTGCTGCCGAAGGCTACTGCGATGGGGTTGACCGTCACATTAGAGTAATTGCATGCGTTAGGATGATGGCGGATGGTGGAAGTGAAAGAACGGTTCGCTCAAGGATGTGCTCAATCGGATTTTTTAAAAGAGAACACGGAGGTTTTTTTTTCTTAAATTTGTCACCGTTAGATTTTTTTACTTCAACTAGATATGCTTTTTTGTTGCAATAACGTAATAAATAACATAATAATGATGATTCGACTATGGCTCGCTAAGAACAGATGTTTGCATAGGAATTACTAGGGTCCTATATACACGTAAAAAGCGCTAAACTGCGGAACGGTTTTGCTGAAACCAAAACGTCCGCAGTTTGGATTAATCATAATCTTAAGGGCTAGAAACAAAAAAAATGGGATTTAAGTTCGCTCTCTCGCTCGCACATTCGCACCAATAATTGTTCAGCAGCATGTTTTGTAGTGTTGTAACAACATCAGTATCGTTAGAACCGATATCAGCATCCGCCGTCGAGGGCAGCCGCATCCGTCGGTACCGTTGTCGTCCTGGTCGGGGTCCTGGTCCTCTGCCGGGAGGGAGCCACTTAGTATGGGCCACCGGCTCCGCCCGATGGGGCTCCGTATTCCTGCTTTGGTGGACCGTATTCGGGCTTCTTCTCCTTCTGGGTCTTGTACTTGATGAAGTAGACCTCCGGTTTGCTTGGCTTGGTCGGTGGTGGCGTTGGCAGGATGATCTCCTCCGGTTCCTCGGGCTTCTTGTGCAGGACGTAGACCAGGGTCTTTTCCTCGTTCTGTGGTGGCGGCGGAATGATTGGGGCCTTCGGCTGCGGCGGGGTTGGCGCCTTGATGAAGATGATCTTGTAGTGCTTCTGGGGGGTGGCCGACTGGACTACGCGGGGGTAGCTCGGTTCTTCCTTCTCCGGTGGCGGCACGTGCACGTAGATGTGCTTCTGGACGACCTGGGTGGCCGGTTGGTAGTTGTAACCTCCACCACCGCCGCCGCCGCCGCCGCCTGTGAATGTGGGGGGAAAGTTAGGGGGTTTTCGAATTGAGATATATTTGGAGAAGGCCATCCAAAGGTGATTTGGTATGATAGGATCGATTAGGGAAGGTTTAGGATAAGCGAGAAGGGAATTGAAAACAAAATAACTTGGCAACCTATTGCTAGGAGGTTTCTAGCAACACTGCCGATGAAAAGCACTGCTCACTACTTCAATTCTACTCAGTGGCCTAGTAGAATTGTATTGCTCTCTCTTTTTCTCTCACAGACATTTTACTCTGTTGGATTTCAAAAGGGAACTTATTCAGCCACTGAGTTAACTCCCTTTTGAACTGCAACTGAATAGCATTTCCGTGCGATAAAAAGAGAGGGCCCCCTCAACCAACTCAAAATGGAAATTCGTTCACTGAAATTCGCAAAAATGTAGGTAACTCAAAGACATAGAAAATCGAAAGAGGTTTCACTCAGTCTATTAGTATACCCCTAGACTAAGCAAAATTTTCGTCAATTTTCCTAATATTCGAGCAGATTGTCGAAAAAATGTGTACTCAGTGTATGAGTAACCTACGTTATTGCGATTTTGAGTGAAAAAACACTCAATTTTGTGTCGATCTCATCGGCCGTTTAGCTTTGACAGATTGTTTGGTTTAAAATTAGCCAGTTTGCTTCTCTCTTATTCTGGACCCTTGCTAGTACTGATAAGTGTGAGGATGCAGGACGCATTTCGAAGTAAACGGGTAAAGACTAGGTCTGTTCCCGTACTTGCTTTTCTGTAAGGTTCTGTACAGCAAAAAGCAAAAGCATGTTCCCTTACTTGCTGTACCATATTATTTTCTTACAGCAACTTACAGACAACTGCAGCAACCTTCAGCAAAATCAGACAAGCATATTCGAGAACAGACCTACTGTCTGTCACGGATATGTTTAACGTTAACAAATCAGTGTCAATATTTCAAAGGGGTGTAATTTCTGTGTAAACAATGGCTTTACCGTCGATTTCTCGCGAATAAAAGCTCACACATGAAAATTAATGACACCAAAGGTAGAGGAATGTTTACTCCACAAGCTAGCATTGTTAAGTTGGAGGGGTGAGCTTTTAATTGGCTAAAACCATTGTTTACAAAAATAATTACGCCGCTTCGAAATGTTAGCTCTGAAATTACTTCTGAGGACATTTCAAGCAGTCAGCTTTCGTTCGTAAACGAATGGAGTTGTGAATAACATCCAACTCTCGACATGCTGGATTGAATGCCTGTACGTATATGAACGGTTTGGTTCAATAGGTCCAATATATGTCAGTTTGGCAAATTTTCCGAATTATTGAACGTCAAATTAATGGAAACGACTGATTGGAGGGAATTCTGGTGCAGTATTCCAATACTTTTAGCTGTATATCTCCGGAAGTATTGAGTATGAGGTGATTTGAATGAAGAGGACAGTCAATAGAAAAGAATTCGGAAATTACCAAGAAGATTGTGGAAGTATTTCGAGGCACTTTGTGGATACATTTCACGAGGAATTTCGGGATATTTACCATGAAAAGTGGAGTTTTATGAGACTTCTCGGAGAATTGGTAAAGGAAGTTCATTTAAGCAGTAATTTAGGGTTCCTCCCATGGAAAATTTCATCCGTACGCTGAGCGAACAAATTGATAGTAATCCAAATGGTAATTCAAGTATGTAAGTCATAAAAAAATGCTCATTGGCAAAGAGCAGCAAGGATTCAAACCATGATATTCATTATTAGAAAGCGTACACCTAGTGAATTAATCCAACGATACTCGTAGTAGCATGGTGATTAAAAGCGTAATGTTTTCATACGTTTTCTTATTTCAACACTGGCTTCAAGTTTCATAAAGCTGATCGTATCAATATCGTGCATCTATTTACCGCAGTGTACTTGGTAGGAGATTTCGAGTAAGTTCCTTACTGTTTTTGAAAGTGAATTTTCATAAAAGAAGATATATCCCCACCGTGATGAGTCATTAGGCCGAATGGGTCATTAGGCCGAAATGTTCATAGTTATTCACTTTTCGTCATATGACATCTGCGTTTTTCAAATTTGAGGAAATGTACCGAAATCTGGACACCTAAAAATGGATTATCAAGGCCAAATATGATCAAAATGCCACATAAATTTTATGATGATCCTATAGTGTCATCCATGTTCATCTAACAAACATTATTATGTTTCCAAGTAGATGTTCTATCTATTTAAAAATGAAATTTCTGGATTAATAGGCTGTCCGGTATTCGTAGAAAGTACTTTCTACGCCTATGATCTTCACATTTGTCTCAGGTTCACTTTGTTGGATTCCAAATTGGCAATATTTAAATTAGAAAAAAGTTTGATTACCTTAGAATGAGAATGTTGAATTTTAATGTGTGTGATTTTGATATTTTTTATAGATCTTGAATTTTTGATTTTTTTTTTTTCCAGTTCAAGAAAGGTTTTTCATGGATTAATTCAGACAGAGATCTTGAAACATTTTCGAAGGTCCAGAGTGTTGAACATTGTTCCAAATACTACTCTAAGTTCCATCTTTTAGTTTACAAAATATGTCCTTATGACCCATTCAGCCTAATGGCCTCTGGACCCTAGATATCGAACCCTTCAATAAATGGGCCAGGACAAACGGCTTTACAACTTTCGTGAAAAACCAAAACTTTTGATCGATGATCGCAGTAAACAAACGCAAAATCCTTAAATTTAAGACTTTGACTGTTTCAAATCGAGGGAAGTTTTCTGAGAAGAACTCTTATCTTGAAATCCCAAATGTTGTGAGATCAGATACAAGATTTGTGCTCACGGTCATGCGGATGGTGCCACTTGTGATAAACGTTGTAGGTCTCCAAAAGTTTAACATTCATTTAAAACTGCTAATATTCTTCACAACAACTAGCTGGTCGACCCCCTTCTGGCAGTTCACACTCCATGCACTTATACAACCCAAAATCGTCCTTATTTTCCATCACTACACACTGCCTTCCTGGCCATCTCCTCAACGCACCTTGATTGCTGGAAGCATACGGTCCAATATCTCCACCCGAGCTGAACGACGGTGCCGAATAGGACGGATAGCCGCCCGGTGCTGGTGGTTCTGGACGCGCCGAAGCGGCCACCAACAGGACACTTAACACTACAAACACTTTCATGGTCGATCGGTTAAGTCCAGAAGAACAACTGTCCAACACTGCCGTTCTAAGTTCTAGGCTAGGATGCTTCAAGTTGCTGCTACTGCTACTGCTGCCACTTGATTGGAACAATGCACAATTAAGACTGTTGCTGATTTTTGGATTGCAAATGATATTTATACACCGTTCAAATGATCACTCGTCGTCGACGACGTCGCCGAAGACGACGACGGCGGCGGCGGCGATGGGTGCTTTGGGGTACGGTTTTGGGGTTCATCCCCAGCCAGCGAGAGTAGCGAACCAGTGAATGTACTCGCTGCACAGCACCACCACTGGACAACGTCACACAGCTCTTCCACCGCCTCCTACTCCTCCTGACCAACTGCTACCACGGGGGCTACCAACCATGGCACCTCCAGCTGATGCTGCTACTACCCCAAACATTTGGAAGAAGAAGCCACCGTCCACAGCACACTAGAAGCCATCGAGTTACCTCTAGAAGAGCATCACAATCATCATCAACCGTCATCGGCATAGCAAGCGGTGGCGGCGGCGGCGATCATGATCAGACACACCGAGCGCCGCGTCGACATCAGTAGTAGGCGAGCAAAGCAAACACGACGCGTCGCACACAGCGGGCACGAAAAACTCGAAGCAAAAACGTCACCCACCACCCCATCAGCTGCTCACCCACTCTCGTGGATCACGGTATAAACAAATTTAAAATTAATTTGGTAGGTACTTTTACTATCGCTAGTCGCGAAAACGGTGAGCGCGGAGCCTATAAGTGAAGAGGTTTATTGCTTCGGAGGCTTTTCGTTGGGACAGTCCTTCTTCAGCAGCAGACATGTTAAAAACGTACTCCAAAGGCGGAAAGAGGTTGTTGTCGTTTTTTTCCTCGTGCTATCATCAGTCGGTGGTTGCGGCGGTGACATGACATGTGTGCAAACCTACACAACACCACCCACCGGGTGGCGATCGTGTGCGTTCACCTAATCCTTTCGCTCAAGGTGAAAATGGGCAAACGGCTGATAAATAATGAATTACCAATTTTTGCTTAACCCGCACACCCGAAAGTGATGGAACGACCTTCTGTAAGTGGGTTAATATTGTGAAGATGAGATTTATGTCAGTTTCGATAACTCGATGGCTGATCAAACTGCAATTTGTTGGCCACCTTCAGCACCGGTTGCGTTGAAGTGGGGTTTTACCCGGCTGCAGCGAATGATTTTTCGGAATTTCAAAGCGAGAGGATAATTAGTTCTATAAATGGCAGTGCTTAACGGTTCTTCAAATCTGAAAATCGTTGATGGCTTTGAAAGAGTTAACCAAAAGTGGGATCAGACTGCAGCGAAAGAAGAAGTTCATGGAACCTATGACCATGAGTGGGCTAACAGTAATGTTCAATTCATGAATTGAATGTACTTCTGTGCTTTGTTTGTATTAAAGGGTGTACGCGATAAAAATCGCACACACATAAATAGCTGTCACTTTTTAACTATTATACCAAATATCTTTAAATTGTCAGAGAAGTTCAAGCAAAAATTATGTAATGAGTCAAATACGAGCTTTGACTTGCACAGCTAAAAAGTACACAGATAAAAATTCTGAATTTTAATTGTGATGTAAGCATTGATTCACGTAAACTTGTATTTCATTTAGTGCAACCGACAACTTGTAAACAATGTTGTTTACAAAGACGGGCTTTTGTATACAATATTTGCTACATTGCATGAAATGTCTCATAACTTTATATGATTTATAATTTAAACTTATATGATATGCGACGCTCCATTTATGTGCCCCACGCCAAAACTGCCCATGTTTCATAAAAATCAACTGGTAGGGCGAGGACAATCTCTTTTCTTCCTGCATTTATTATATTTCAATACAACAGAAAATGTGACATCACACTACCTAGTGCTTAACGATGTAGTAGATAAACAATTCACATTGTCAGACCTTGCTGTTTGAAATTCTGTTTACACCCCTGAGAGGGAAAGCGAATGTCAGCACAGATAAAAATTCTGAATTTTAATTGTGATGTAAACATTCATTCACGTAAACTTAAATTTAATTTCACACAACCGAGCAACTTGTAAACAATGTTGTTTACAAAGATGGGCTTTTGTATACAATATTTGCTACATTGCATGAATTGTGCTAGAACTTTACATGATATATAATGTAAATTTATATGATATATGACGCTCAATTTGTGTGCATCATATTGAACAGAAATTTACAATACTTTTCGAACTGTGAGGTTACGTGCACTGTTGCCATCTCTCCTGTTAGAGTTGAATTCAATCTTCTGTAAATTTTTTAATTGGACCGCTAAAATGCCTAAAATGGTAGTTTTCTCTTAATTTATTCAGTTTCTGATATTTATTCACCTTTAAATACATCCACTCATCCATGTTAGTGAGTCAAACTTCACAATTGCTTGTTTTAATAAACTTTAATTCATTGCTAGAGGCAATACATCTGGCAACGCTTTTTCGATGATACATTTACGATTGCTGGGCGCTGGCAAAGCGCTAAAGTTGAAGTGGATTTCTTGGTGTTCAATATTCTTCACTAAGAGTTTTGAGAAGCAGTTGTTTTGAGTTTCGTGTATTCTATTGTGTGTAATAGTTGTATGCTTCGAAGAACACAAGTAAGTAAATACAGTGAATGTGCTTTAGCCGGGAAGTTTTCATTCTAAAATCATGAAATACATGTGTTAAATTTTTGTATTAATAATGTGTGAATGTATGTGTATACTAATGATGATGATCGAAGAATATTTCAAAAATAATAAGAATACAATTTTCATTGTTGAACCTTAACAAACTTCACGAAGCTGGGCCAGAGTTGACCTTATCTGGCCTAGAATCAGCAGCTACATTATATACTACAATCAGCAGTCAAGGACCAATTCTATTGACCACGAAGGAAGTTTAAAGCTCAGGTTGTACCTCAGGTAACCGAAAAGAAGCATTCCTCTTTTAGAACGGGTCATTCCCGTCACTCCTCTATCGTTCTAGGCCGTTTCTATCCTCACCAACGAGGGAAGGTGCCTGAAAGGCATCCAAGCCACACACGAACGGCAAGTCCCGTAAAACCGTCGTGCAGGCAACCACCACAGGAGCATTTCGTTTGTCCACAATTCGATTTATTAAACGAGCAATTCGATCTGTCAAATGGCCGAATAGATGCTTCAAACGAAATATGCTATCAGACGATATTTTCTTTGATCAGAAAATCGAGACTACTTTGATCATTTTTTGAGTAAATATGAGTAACTCAAATTTACTCGCTGCAAATATATTTACTCTGAGTACAGCTGTCTTGCCCCCAGCTATGATGCACATAAATGGAGCGTCATATATCATACAAGTTTACATTAAAGATCTTGTAAATTTATGAGACATGTCATGCAATATTCCATACATTGTATACAACTGTCCACCTTTGCTTGCAACATTCCTTGCATGCTTCTAATTTATGTGAAAAGGAAATTTACGTGCATAAATGTTTGCATGCTTGGATGTTTTTTTTTTACTAGTTCGTTTATTTACTAGGCTCAGTCGTGCGTGACACTTTGCGGAGCCAAAAATCAGTAATGCTTGAATTTACATTTTAAACAGCAGTAGTTCTCATGCCCTCAGCGGAAAGAGGAAAGGCAATGTCCCTTGACTCGCCTAACTGTGTGACTGATCCTTCCCGTTTTGGCAGAGACACAGTATATCGCCCATCAGTTGCACGCTTGACTGTTTGTACGTAGATCTCCTCGCAGCGAGCCTCTTCCTGGGAATAGTTGTGTGCTGCTTCAATCTCTTCGGAAGTCCAGAACCGTGCGACGAGAGCCTCCAACTCTTCAGACGTTGAAATGTTGCAGTTGACATGTAGTGGCTGACAGGACGTAGATAACCCACCGCTCACCACCCATCCGAATACCGATTCGTTCAATGCCGGTAGCTCGTCGCCGAGAGTCATTCTTCGTCCCGTTACGAAGAAATCGAAGAAGGCTTCTATGCCGAGAACCATGTCCACACCCTTGGACACAAAGAACGAGGGATCTGCCAACTGAACGTTTTGTGGAACCGTCCACCCTTCAGCTCGGATCGATGTCGTAGGTAAGTTTACAGTCACTTTCGGAAGGACGAGGAAACCCAATACCCGCGAAAATTCAGAGACCCGTGATCGTATCGTGACCTGAATACGCTGTTTCACCTTTGTCGTTGTCTGTCCGATGCCGGTTACTGATACATCGACTCGTTTTCGATCCACCTTTAAACGCTGACTTAATCGTTCGGTAATAAAGTTACTCTCTGAGCCCGAATCCAAGAGAGCGCGAGCTGGTATGGGGTTACCATCATCATCCTCTACGATCAGAACCACAGTAGCTAATAGTATTTGTGATCCGATGTTATGCGCTGTATTAGACACTGAAATCTGAGCTGCCACCTGGGAGGACGAAGACGCTTGGAAATCGTTGGAAGCGGACGAGTTTCTGTCCTTCGCAGTATCCAAAGCTTTCGAGTTACCGTCCCTTTCGCGTTTAAAGCAGACCATAGAGTGATGCCTTCCCTTACAATTTCGGCACGAGAATTTGGATTGACAATCCTTAGCAAGATGGCCCGACCTTAGGCAGTTACGACAAAGCGAATGAGTGCGGAGAAATGCGTCTCGTTCCGACACCGATAGTCGCTGGAAAGTTCCACATTGATACAGTAGATGATTCGCTGAACACGCTACGCACCGCCCCCCAGACGATTGTATCGAACCGTAGCTTGTTTTCACGATAAACGGGGCATAATCATCGAACACGAAGGGACAACCACACGAGATCCAGATAAAATCGTCGACGTATTAGGCAATCACTTTGCCGCCCTATCATCAATTGAAGGTTATGATGAGAATTTCCACCAGATCAACAACCCGTCCATTGACTCAATTGTTAACATGCATATACCAGAAGAAGACGACTCAGCAATCAACCAGCCATTTAGTATACGCGAGTTCTCTCTTGCCTTATTGAAGGCCAGAGGAGGGTCCGCTGGACCTGACGAAGTTGGATACCCTCTTATTCGAAACCTTCCCATGGCCGAGCAGGTAAAATTCCTGGAACTGCTCAATCAAGAATGGCTGCAGGACTCTTTTCCGG